ATTTAGGGCGGTCTGACTCCACAGTAATCATAGTACAACAGTGATCACAGTGGCACAATGATCATGGTACAACAATGATCACAGTGGCATAGTGATCATAGTACAACAGTGATCATAGTGGCACAATAATCTTGGTGCAACAGTGATCACAGTGGCACAATGATCATGGTACAACAGTTATCACAGTGGCACAGTGATCATAGTACAACAGTGATCACAGTGGCACAGTGCTCATGGTACAAAAGTGATCACAGTGGCACAGTGATCATAGTACAAGAGTGATCACAGTGGCACAATGATCATGGTACAACAGTGATCATAGTACAACAGTGATCACAGTGGCACAGTGCTCATGGTACAAAAGTGATCACAGTGGCACAGTGATCATAGTACAAGAGTGATCACAGTGGCACAATGATCATGGTACAACAGTGATCATAGTACAACAGTGATCACAGTGGCACAGTGCTCATGGTACAAAAGTGATCACAGTGGCACAGTGATCATAGTACAAGAGTGATCACAGTGGCACAATGATCATGGTACAACAGTGATCATAGTACAACAGTGATCACAGTGGCACAATGATCATGGTACAACAGTAATCACAGTGATCATAGTACAACAGTGATCACAGTGACACAGTGATCATGGTACAACAGTGATCACTGATTACACTGTCATTCTTCCTTCACTGCACAAACCACACTTGCACAGCTCTTCTTGACCACAGCCAGAATATGCAATGCTGCCGCCGCTCATTCATTGCAAAGTCTTCCAATACTTTATTACCCTCTCTTTACTGCTTCCCCCTCCCTCCCTCCCTACCTCTTAACCTCCCTTCCTTTCGCAAATCTTTATTGATAGCCTGTGTTTGCCTCTAAACACAGCCTGATAGTCAATTCTCGGCCTTTGAATAATTCTCCAAGCCAGTCTTGTCTCATGAATGACCTACATCTAAGCAAATTTGCGGATGACAAAAACTGGGAAAACGTGCAGCATCCAAAGGCACTTTGACTTTTTGAGGTTATTGTAGGTAACTTACAATATGTATGATAATTGTACTTACGTGCACCTGAGGCTAAATAGTCATTTATTTACTAGTATTCAGAGTGATGTGGACACGTTGGCGCTGTGTCAGAGACGTGGAAGATGAGTTTCAACGTTAGCAAGTACAGAGTAATGTATTTTTAGTATAACAATCTCAAATAAACCGATCAGGGCAAGAGGAAAAAAGAACTTCGGGTAATCACAAGCAACGCCTCGACAGTACCAAGCAACGCCTAATTGTGGAGAGCAAAGCTAACGGAATATTAGGTTTAATAACTAGAAACTTCAAGCTTAAAACATCAGGCACATCCTGAGTTTATAATGCATTTGATAGACTGTATCTTGAATATGCCGTCCAGTCTTGGTCTCCAGATCACATAAAAACTGAAGATATACTGGAGAGGTACAAAAATGAACTAGCAAATTTGTACCATCACTCAGAAGAAAACATTGTGACGAAACAGTCTTTTTCTGTTAGGAAACGGAGGCTACGAGATCTCACTGGAACCTTTAAGACACTAAATGGCTCTGATACACTCCAGTTCCTTGAATTAGGCCTGAATACCTTCCATCCCCTCCCCTCAAGCGCTGTATAATCCCTATGGATTTAGCGCTCCCCATAATATTAATAATAATAAAAGTAATAATAATTTGACACACTCATACATGAAGAACTAGTTGAAGTACTGAAGGAGTTCTTAACGGGAAACACTGATATAAAACTGCGAGGCAGAAGATGCAACACGAACGTATGCAAAGCTTTTTGCAAACAGAATGAAATAAACTACCGGTTAAAGTTAAAAGTGCAAAGACTGCATTACGGTAGTTTCAAAACCAAATGGACAAGCATTCTGCAGGTATAGGAAGAGTGGGAAGAGTTGTTAGTCTTCACGACCACATGTTCACTAGAATTCTGTCAGTCAAGATCGCTGGGTTATCCCAAACCGTTTTATGTCAGAAAACATGATAATACGTTAAAGTGATCAACGTGTTATGTAGTATAGTGAGGGAGGACAGGAGAGAGATGCTGTCTAAGACATTCGCTACGTCACTGGAACACTCTCTAAACCCACGTGGATCGTCATATACATACAACAGATGGGGCAATTTGGGGTCAACAGATTTCAGACGTGTGTGTTCAGCAACTTCATCATGACGATCAGTGGACGGTGAGAAAATTGAGTCAATAACAGTAGCAGTGGTAGAAGTCCCGTAGTGCCCAGTTTCCACCCGCACCCCGGTGCGGGTGGAAACACTGGGCACCTGCTCTCCCTCTTCACCTAGAAGTAAGTAGGTACCTGGGTGTTAGTCGACTGGTGAGGGTCGCATACTGGGGACAAAATTAATCTAAGTTGCCCGAAATGCTCTGCATAACAAGGGACTTTCTATATAACATGTCAGCTATGGTCTGTATAAGTTGTGTCATGTACTCGTACAAATAAAGATTATATATAAAAGATTAGAAGGTTGTGATAGTCAAAACAGAGGTAGTGGGAACTAGTAATAAAGACACTGGCACACACAGTTTTATGAGTGGTATTAAAAATAACACGAGTAGTTAAGATAGTAACAGTACTATTTTAGTAGAGGTAGTTGTAGCTCGCGTCTTTTTTTTTTTTTTTATTCGCCGGTACTCTCCCGGTCCGGGTCTTTTCCAAGTAGTGGTGACCCGGCCTTGGCTCCCTATCTGGGGAGTGTCTCGAGACTTAAGTCTCCCATGGGAGGAGGTACAAGTACCCCCTCATCTTTGGGACCAACTGTCCCCAGGCCTAGCCACATTCCCCGCCCTCACGGGGCTCGTAGGGAGAAGCTAGGCCTCTGGTCTGCCATCTGCCCCGCCCCAAAGGGGCTCGTGGGGATGGCAGTCTTGTGAGCTGCAGGTGGTAGCAAGCTCAGGCCTTTCTCGCGTCTTCATTCGGTTTCATCTCTATTGTAAATTCAAAGTTATTTTTCCAATATGGTACAGTATTATGGTACAATATTATGGTACAGCATTATGGTACAGTATTATAGTACAGTATTATGGTACAGTATTATGGTACAGTATTATGGTACAATATTATGGTACAGTATTATGGTACAGTATTATGGTACAGTATTATGGTACAGTATTATGGTACAGTATTATGGTACAGTATTCCCCGCTTTCACCCCATATTTTTATGCCGGCAGTAGTCGGAGGGAACGGAGAGTGGGGAGAGAGCTTTCTGCTTTTCTATCCTTGACTCATACACCTGAATAATACACGAAAGTCCTTAATCTAGACAGAAGTAGATAGTTCTCAGCAGATAGCCTCGGGGTGGAGTGTCAAGCCCTTTACTACTTGTCTTTCCTGTACTCCCATATTACCACGTTACTCTCGTCTGATGGATGACCCACCACATTACTCTCGTCTGATGGATGACCCACCACATTACTCTCGTCTGATGGATGACCCACACATTACTCTCGTCTGATGGATGACCCACCACATTACTCTCGTCTGATGGATGACCCCCATTACTCTCGTTGTGGATGACCCACCACATTACTCTCGTCTGATGGATGACCCACCACATTACTCTCGTCTGATGGATGACCCACCACATTACTCTCGTCTGATGGATGACCCACCACATTACTCTCGTCTGATGGATGACCCACCACATTACTCTCGTCTGATGGATGATCCACCACATTACTCTCGTCTGATGGATGACCCACCGTGCAACTTGTTGCGTCTGCTGCTGTAACTGAGTATCTGTTCTGCTACCAGGGGGTGAATGAACAGTGTACAGGTTGCAACATCCTGCACACCATTCAGACATACACCTCTTGGTATGTCTGAATGATGTGTTTACTCCATGTTAACAAGACATTAATTCATTAAACATACATAAAATTTATTTTATCTTACACTTTATATATATATATATATATATATATATATATATATATAATATTATATATATATATATATATATATATATATATATATATATATATATATTCATGCTTAACAATTCGCAAACGGGAAAAATCATTTACAAACATTATCTATCAATCCAGTATCTCCAAGTTTGCAGGTTCGAATTCTGCTGTGGACTGAGAGATAATATTTGTAAATAAATTTACCCGTTTGCGAATTGTTAAGCATTTCAAAATCTCTTTCGTAGTTCACTGCATGTGACAGGATTTGACGAATTAACTTTGTACAGGCCTGATGCTCCAGGGTATGGGGGAGTGACCGTCTAGCTTTGGCTTGGCGCCTATACATATTCCGGAGTCTGGCTGTGTGGATAAAGTACTTTGTACTCTGATGCCAGTTTACAGGTTCGAATCCTGCTGTGTGTGTGTGTGTTAGTGTTACCTATAGTCGCTTAAAAATTATTATTTATTGTATTGTAAAGTATTTGTGTTATACATCCCCTGATCCTTATATGATATTATTGTTACCTGACCTGATCCTCAACCCTCTCCTTATATAACCCTCTCTTATATAACCTTATATAACTCTCTCTTATATAACCTTACCTAACCTTCAACCACCATCTATGATCTGATCTTCAATCACCATGTGTGACCTAACCTTATCATCAAGCCCTTCTGTGACCCAACTTGACCCTCTGCCAGCATCTATGATCCAACAGTACCTGACCAATAACCTAATTTGACCTTAAACCATCTTGTGTGACATCTAAACCTCGTTACTTCAACGCATAACCACTATTCGTGACATAGACAATAAGTACTAACATGCTATACACAGATAATCTGCACATAGCAGAGAGAAGCTTATGACGGCGTTTCGGTCCTTCACCTTAGTGTGACTTGTAAATTATCCAAGTCGGATCGAAACTCGTCATAATCTTCTCTCTCCTATGTGCGGGTTATTTGTGTATTGTTCCAGTCACCGTATTATGCCTTTTTGTTCTTTACTAACATGCTGTTTGGGTGGCACTAACAGCCAGAGCCTCTGTAGCAATGGGGTCAGGCAGCAGCAGCCCCAGGAGCACAGAGGGAGGCGGTGTAGACACAGACGGAGGCGCTATGTTCCAACAACGACCTCCACACTGTCGCCTGGAGGGTAAGAACCAGGTCTCCTCCGACGATGAGTTTACCGACGTCTCTTACAGTGATCTAGGACACATCATCACACCGAAGGTGAGTCCAGCTACTGACGAGGCATTAGACCAGGGGTACTTAACCCTTTTACGATTACAGACTTCCCAATGGATTTCCCAATATGTCCCCATATCCTCTTCGCCAGAATGTCGAAATTATCATCACCAGTCTTATTAGGTACCAGTATGACTTCAAAAGATAACAAGAAAGGAGGAACACTGCAGCAGGCTTCCTGGCCCATGCTTGGCAGGTCCTTGTCAAACCCAAATCCACTTAAAACATATTCGCCCAACCCATTAACAATATTACCTAAGGAAAAGGATATCAATAGCTTGGTTTTAATTTACATATGGATAGCTAGGAACAGAACAGATAATAGTTTTTTCTAATCTAACAGCAACTTTTTTTTTAAATTGTTCCGAGATGGAGTCCTATACCCCTGTTATTTGGTTCCCATACCCTCAAGGGGTATGGATACCCCCGGTTAAGAAACTTTGCATGATTAGACACGATGGAGATAAAAGGTATAAAATACCAACAAGATGGAGAAATTAAACACAAATGCAGTATAATGCTATCCTTTATTGACTCGTTCGCCCACACAGTGGGCTTCATCAAGTCACCAACAGATCTGCTTGGGTGAAGAGTGCATGAGTGTATATAGGGTTGAGAGTCAGGGAGAATGCTGGGTGGGTTGGATTTGAGACGGACCTGCATGGGACGGGCAAAAATGTTGGGTAGGTTGGATCTTAGACGGACCTGTACGGGACGGGCGAGTGTGTTTCTTATGCAGGATAACGATGAAGACATTTCCTGGAAAGGGGTTCGGCTATGTTGTAAAAGCCGGTTTTCTGGTTGAAATTGTTAGATATACAGATAAGCGATGATTCCAATATTCTGCGACACTGAGTGTCTTCTTCCCTGGCGATGAGTCTTGCGTCTCTGTAGTTAATTAAATGGTTGTGGAAGCTTCGGTGTAGAACGCAGGCATTCCTTAAATAGTCCGCTCTGTCTGCGTATTGGTGTTATAAAATATGTGTTTGGAGGTCTCTGGATGTCTCGCTCACGTATTATTAACTGGTTGCAATCGTTGCAGGGGATTATGTATAGCCCTGCAGAGGACTGAACCTTGTGTCTCTTACTTGTAATGTCTTTGATGGTGGTGGATGTGGAAGTAGATACTTGAAATGAGGTATTGGAAAAAAAATGTTGGAAACGTGTTTGGCAACGGAGTTAGTGGGGAGGACTGTGTATCTCCTCTCGGCAGTATCTTGTCTGGGTGAGTTAAATTATTATAATAAAAAAGAAGCGCTAAGCCACAAGGGCTATACAGCAGTGAGTTAAAGATGTTATATGCTCAGTCTCTAATGAAGTGGCGAGGATATTGAAGTTTAGAAAATTCTTGTTCGATGACAGAGCATTCTTTCTCAAGGAACACACTGCTACAGATTCACAGGGCACGAAAGTAAAATCCTATGATTACACCACGTTTAGTTTTGGTGTCGTGATGAGTGCAAAAGTGGATAAGATCGCGTTGGTTGGTAGGTTTTCGATAGACTTTAAAACGAAGTTCGTGGTCAGCTTTGCAGAGAACATCAAGGAAAGGAAGAGTGTTGTCGACTTCTTCTAGTGTGAACTAGATTGAGGGTTCGACCTGGTTGAGCTTGTGTTGGAGAGCTGAACGTTCAAGCGTCTGGGAATTATGATTAGAATGTCGTCAACATAACGGAGCCAGGTAACGGAAGAGGGAATAATAGAGGAAAAACGCTCGGCTTCAAGATGTTCCACGTAGAGGTTCGCCAGTACGACACTAAATGGGGAACCAATGGGTAGTCCAAAAGTCTGCTGGAGAAGGTGATTTTCAGAGAAATATGTAAAGCCAACACAGTTCAACAAGGTCGATGAAATCGCTGGCTGGAAAAGAAAGGTCAAGGGAGTCGAGTCGTCAATTTTCCGGCGCAGATCAATGGCTTGTGTAGTAGGTGCCTTGGTAAATAGGGGTATTACGTCTAGGCTGGAGAATTTTTTGTTCCTGATGTTAATGTTGTGGATGCGATTGAGATCAACAGTGTGTTTAAGATGTGTTCGACTGATTGTGCCCAAGCGTTTAGAAAGGTGCTCAACGAAAATCCCTGAGAGTTGGTGAGGAACACTGCCTATTCCAGAGATGAGCCTCAGTGGAATTCCTGGCTTGAGTTTTTGGTAGGCTGTACACTCTGGAGGGTCTGGGGTTGCTGGGAATGGTGTGCAGAAGTTTCATCCCTTGTTCAGAGTCCCTTATTATGAGGCGAGTCTTGCGAGGAAAAGTTTTGGTAAGGCTGTCTACTTGGTTTGTTGTGAGAGGTTTGTAGGTGTCTGCATTGAAAGCTTTAGCAGAAGACACGAACATCAGAGTCACCACCGCTGATAAAGGAGGTGGTGTCGTAATCTTGAACATTAACGACTACAGGAAAAAAATACTCAATTTATTTAATGACCCAGACACCTACATACCTCTCACAACAAACCAAGTGGACAACCTTTCCGGGCGGGTGGCAGGCGATTATCGGCAACAACATCCTTAGGTTCTTGACTGAAAGATACACAAGGTGTGCTGCCCTGTCCTCTCGGGTCTGTCTGACGGTCTGTTATGGGAGGCGGCGGTTGCTTAGGGGTGCCGTAGCAGGACAATCCAGTAGGCAGTGTACAGGTGGGAGCTCAACCATCTTCTCACAGTGGGCGCACTGCTCCCTTCTTCGTTGCTCGACGATATGCGCTGAGGTCATGAACCCAAATCGTAGTCGGTGTGGGGACACACGTTGCTCTCTAGTTCGCGGTTGTTAGGTAAGACACATATGCAACAGTTAGACAACTTTATTCCGAAACGTTTCGCCTACACAGTAGGCTTCTTCAGTCGAATACAGAAAGTAGGCAGGAACAGTAGAGATGTGAAGACGATGTAATCAGTCCATCACCCTTAAAGTCGTAGAATTTGAGGTTGTCAGTCCCTCGGCCTGGAGAAGTTCAGTTCCATAGTCAGGAACTATCTGAAGATCAAGCGACAGTGCGGAGACTTAAATACTGTCGGAAGGAGAGGTGCAGGGTAGTAGTAGTAGTAGTAGTAGTAGTAGTAGTAGTAGTAGTAGTGAGAGGCAACTGAGAGGTCATGTCCCTCTCAGATCCAACCCTTCTCACTTGAAAAGCTTGTCCAAGGTGTTTTCTGTACCAAGATGCCACGTGTTGCAGTGTCTGACAAGATGAACATCAAAATGGTATACAATACCGACAGGTTGTTAGGTAAGACACATATGCAACAGTTAGACAACTTTATTCCGAAACGTTTCGCCTACACAGTAGGCGAAACGTTTCGGAATAAAGTTGTCTAACTGTTGCATATGTGTCTTACCTAACAACCTGTCGGTATTGTATACCATTTTGATGTTCATCTTGTCAGACACTGCAACACGTGGCATCTTGGTACAGAAAACACCTTGGACAAGCTTTTCAAGTGAGAAGGGTTGGATCTGAGAGGGACATGACCTCTCAGTTGCCTCTCACTACTACTACTACTACTACTACCCTGCACCTCTCCTTCCGACAGTATTTAAGTCTCCGCACTGTCGCTTGATCTTCAGATAGTTCCTGACTATGGAACTGAACTTCTCCAGGCCGAGGGACTGACAACCTCAAATTCTACGACTTTAAGGGTGATGGACTGATTACATCGTCTTCACATCTCTACTGTTCCTGCCTACTTTCTGTATTCGACTGAAGAAGCCTACTGTGTAGGCGAAACGTTTCGGAATAAAGTTGTCTAACTGTTGCATATGTGTCTTACCTAACAACCTGTCGGTATTGTATACCATTTTGATGTTCAGTTCGCGGTTGCACTAGGGGAGATGGAGACTCCCGGCATGTTACCAGATAATACCACCGGCGAGACTTTGAGACGGATGGGACCGACCTTGAACGCAGGGCTACCCTGACTACAAGATGTACTGTCTGGTGAAGGCTGATATGGACAGTGGCACGCGGTTGTATGTCGTAGGTGGCCGTCTTAGAGGCCTCGTCTGATGCGTCGTTGCCTGGAATGCCGACATGGCTCGGGATCCACTTGATATTAGCGCACAGTCCTTGCTTGTTAAGTGTCTGAAGAGTCCTCTGTATTGAGATTATGAGATGTACGTTGTCCCTTGGCTCGCTGTGCTGGAGTGCTTATATCGCAGATTTGAAGTCAGCATGAATGACTGGAGGGTGCTGGTGTTCCTGGATCACATATTACAATACCTGCTGGATGACGTAGAGCTCTGCTTGCAGAATGATACAGTGATCAGGAAGTGCCACCCAGAACCTGGGTGAAGAGTGCATGAATATATATATATATATTATATATATAATATATACATATATATATATATAATATATATATATATATATATATATATAAATATATATATATATATAATATATAATATGGTGGAGAGTCAGGTGGAGAACTCTGGGTAGGTTGGATTTGAGACGGACCACTTGTCAGGGAAGGCTGGCAAGGTTCCCAAGTGACGCTCTAGACCACTCGACCATAGATACCTCAGAAAGCTAGGCAACCTTGTTTAAAAGCCGTTGGGAGATACATGGCATGTAAACAAGGCTACCCAGCTTTTTGAGGCATCTGTGGTCGTGATCTAGAGCGTCATTTAGGAACCTTGTTAGAATTCCCTGACGTGGCTTCGAATCCTGCTGACTGCGATCTTTTTCTGTATATACCCGTTTATTTTTGCGTAGTGCATTTATTAATATAATATAAAATATATATAATATATTTTTTAAAATATATATAAAATATAATATATAAAAATAAATATAAAAAAATACGGGGAAGTACCACCTCATAGCGGGACTGGGGCCCCTACCTCAGAGGAAATAAAGTCCTCGGGGGAAAACTCAAATTCCCCCGGAGCTGTTTGAATATTTTTTTCTACCCCCCCATATTTTAATTCTAAGGAAATTTTTTTTTTTTTTAAAAAACAGAAACATTACAGAAAACACAAACATGAATACAA